CGCAAGAAGCAGTATTCAATAAAGAGAAATCAACTATGGAATATAAAAACAATAACTAATAAAGTATAACTTATCTGAAATTTTTCATGTAACTTCAGAATTTAATTCCTTGAATTCGAATTGTGACCCATCGAGGCTCAATTCAACGGACTGAATTAATTTGTAACTTTGATTTGACATATTAAGACTTGAATGATAGTGTTTTAAGGAATTAAATATTGCCATTCATGATGCTTCTTGTGGTTGAACATCCTTGTGAACACATCACGTGAGCTTAAAGTTATCACCGATATCACTTGATCAACGTAAACTTTATCATCATCCTTATTTAGATAAAGTATTACCAAATCATCATCATCTTTAGGATCATCGTCTTTGTTATCATTAACATCATCATCTAACGTCACATCACAAATCCATTACCCATTGATATCAAAGTCTTCTGCAACTTATAACGTTATTTCGTCCAAATTTCCTTTAGAATTTATAAAAGACCCAATCGCTTTACCTAAAGTTCATTATTATCTTCCCGTACACCGTTTGAATTAAATTTGCCTACTGTCTATGCCGTTCTACTAGCTCCCATTCAATGGTTACACTATATAACTTTTTTATGTACTTTCTAAACTTTTCTATCCTTTCAAAAGAAGCACAAAAATATTTTTAGACAACGTAGAAAATATTTGGAAAAGTTGTATGGCATATTAAAGACTTTTTTTTAACAAATAGAAAAGATTCATCGTTCTACTTGTGATTCCTCATTACAATAATACTTTGTTGGTAAAATAAATGCCTATGAAATAAATTTGTCTATAAATTAATATTCTATAAAATAAACATGTCGGGTAACTTTCTGTGAAATAATATGCTTGTGACGTGATTGTTTACGAAGCAGAACTGTATAGTATAACCAATCAAAATCATGGATTTGTCGCACATTTTTTGTGCGGCAGTTAAATTTAATGATGTGCATTTACTAATTTTCACCTACACTTTCTATTGGTTAAAATAATCAGTGATTATTTATATGATATTGCTATTTTTAAAATGTGACATTTTATTTCGAGTTAGTGGTAGGGTTAGCGTACAAAATTGTACTAAAATTTTGCCAAGAATTTTTTTGTTAATACGCTAAAAGTGATTTCATAGATGAAATTAATGCGATATATTTTTTTTAAAAAAAAAGTGAGATACAGTATTTAACGATTACAAACAGCACCATTGATTATTATCGGTTAATAATAATCGATTAATTGTTAGTAGTCGGCTTGAAAAATTTTCCGATAAATGTTATTTAATAATGCTATTTATAATGGGTGAATGTATGTTAATGCATTAGTATGTATGAAATAACTATTACTAATATGAATGATTGTAAATGTTACATGCACATAATTCATTACCCCCATGATTGCAAGTTTACATCACGATCACGAAATTTCATCAAAGTCACGTTCGAACAACTGAATCCTAAAATATATACATTAATTAAAAGATTTGACCAATCGTTTAAATAATTTATTTGGATTTTTTTTTGGTTTTTTTTTTTTTAATAATTATAACACCTCACCATAAAACCTATTTTAAATTAAAATTACAACTAATCTATGTAAAAAAAAAAAAACAAACAACTCATAGAATATGAATAAGTGAATATATATTGATACATGCAAACTATGATAATAAATTTGATTAAATAATACAAATACTAAATTTTTTTCTTTTTTTTTAATCACTTTCAAGGAGAATTAAATCGGGTTGTTCCTTAAAAGTAAAAAAATAAAAGATAATTGTTTTGAGAGTATGATAATACTATTTCAAATAATACTATCATAATTTACATAATTCTTTAATATCTTTTTCATCAAACTTATTATCTTTTTTTTGTTTTTTTTTGTCATAATATTTTAAAACTAAAAATTGGCCTGCTATTATCATTATTCTTTTTATACCAAAAATAAAGTCAACTACAAGATAATACAGGAAAAAATAATTAAATAAATAAAAATGTTGATAGACACATAATATTACCCAATCCAGAATAATACACTCAAAAAATAAGAACTGAATTAGTAATGAAACGGTAGGTGTGAGATATATGTGGTCGAAAGTTAATGGTGTGATGAAAAAAGGAGTGTCAAATGTTGTTGTATCGATAGTTGATGTTGCGAATAAATATTAAATTCAAATGTTCCCATGGATAAGTAGGCTGATGAACCGTTCTTGCGTGATTGCCTTAACCAAATTCAATTATTGGAGTATAATATTCGGACTTTGATATCTAATACTTGAAAGGAATTAAATCAGTATTCAATATTAATACGATTATATTAATTTCATATTTAACCAAGTAATTTTAAAGGTGAAACTCACCCGTCGTCCACCACGATTTCCTCCGCGACTTCGTGACGCTCCTCTTCGTTTGCTGCCTCGTTTTCTAACTGTTACCCAATCTCCATTTGCAACAGTTGTAACTACTGTATTTATACCTCCACTAATTATACCATCTGTTATACTATTTGATTCACTTGTCATTTCATTAAAGAGGTCACTACTTGGTCGCGAATTACATGGGGATTCTGGTGGCGTTGATATGTTGGCGGTAGAAATAGGTGCTTCATTAATAACTTCTTGTGCTTTTGATGTAGCCAATAACGTTTCAACTTGGGCTTGTAAACACGCTATTTCTTCTGCGGCTATTTTGTTTAAATAATAATAAATAAAAATAAATAAATTATAAATTACATACACATATATATAGATGTATTTATTTATTGATTTATAAATATAAAATCAGCTAACCTTGCGTTTTCGTTTGCTCAAGTTGTTTCCGTAATTTAGCATTATCGGTTTCAAGTTGATATATTTTAGATTT